ACAAATATGACTCGTTCCTTTCTCTACACTATGTATAAACTATCAACATTATACATATTCATAAGTCAAATATCACTTTCATCGCTTTCGTCGTGTTCACTTTCGCTGCTGGAAAGTGGAGCTACAGGTTCTGCCGTTAAATCTATTTCAGAATATATTGTTCTATTTACACCACCATGTATGACAGCATCTTGCATTGTCGGTGCTGTGTTGAATGTGATTTCCGAATAGTTAAGACTTGGATCACAAATCTGAAATGAAGGGAAAAATAAGTCAATGAAAAAATACAAGTCATGAAAAAAAGACGGCATAATCGTGTAAAAAAAACAAAGGTTACGGGAAAGTAAAATAACAAATATACCGAACCCTAAAGACATTTAAAACGGAAAGTTCCTTAACAAATGGCAAAATCTAAAGCTCAAATACATCAAACGAATGGAAAACAACTGTCATATTTATGACTTTTAAAAAGATTGGAGAGATATTTTGACAACAGTAAAGCAAATGCACTGCTTTTACCGAACAATCATTGTTCTTGCAGTCAATCCTAATTTCAAAGCCATATAAAAGGCAAACAAAAATAGAAGAAAATCCTTTTCATCTTTTAATTTTTATCGTCCGGAGTGTGCATAGGCAATTGTCCTGACGACAAAAGACTAATACTTATCGATGTTCTATGTCATGCATGTAGAAATTTAGATATTTGACATGTGTCTAAAGTTCATCTGTGATTATGTTGATAGGTTGTATAAGTTAAGTTTGTCTTTTGAGGCGAGTTGAACATATAGAAATAGTCGTTATCATAATTACCTGAGGGTTGTGAACTGACGAGACCATACCCCTATTTATATAAGTACATGATCTCCGACCATTTGCTAAAGTGAAATATATTTCAAAACGTTATGAAGTAATACAATTGATTACATATCAGTATTTTTAGGTAAGTACTTCATTTCATCATATGTTACTACAAAGAATCTTTTGGAAATAACTTAATATGAAATTAAAGATGAAAGTTATATGAACAAAAATTATTGTGTCTCTAGTTCGGTTGTCTATTTAACGTCACTTAAATCTTCAATGTGTGCGTTCATTTTGTCCTCATGTTTTTTTTTAGAAATAGGATGATATATAAACAAAAATAGGTATCCGATGTGAAAATCTCCTGAGTCGATTCAAAAGACAGATCAAGATAACAAATGAAATCATTGCTATTCATGATTCTAATATGACGTGCTTCTTTCGCTTGGTAAAATTCTCGATATATCTATACTTAGCGCAGACTCAGAGATTACATATTGATGGCTGTTACTACTTACCTCCCACGTAAATCACATGTATCGTGACCTATGTGCAAACACTATGTCGATTTCTTTGTGTTCAAATTGAAATTCAAAAAGAAACTACAGAACCGTTATTCCTATTCTAAAGCATAATAATAAGAATTAATGCACAAGAGCTTAAAAAATGTATAAAATAAAAAAAACATAAAATTCCGCGAAATTTCGTGAATTATCTTGGCGCATTAACGTCATGACTCATGTCTTAACATGACGCCATACGAATGAAAACTCTCAAGCTGAAGGTTATCCGTTACGTATACGCCCTCAGTTCGGATATTATCGCATTAAAATGTATTTTTGAGGTAGGTGTTGTTTCATTTTCTATTCTATTGCATTATTTGCACATTTGTGGATTTCAGACATCAAAATGGCGGCTCACTCCTTAGTTACGACATATCAGCTGTGGATTTGACAGTAAATAGTAGCCAACAACAAAAACATGTTTGGGTTAAGAATTATAAGGATTGAACACATTTTTTCTACTGGTTATTTAAGAAATAATTCAAGCATGACACATACTTATTTGAAATTTGTAGCTTTTGTCTTACAGGGGGTAAATCAGAACAGCCATACCCACGGCAATCTTACCTTCGCTTCAGTTTTTAAATTACCGTATTTGTCCTAAAAGAATCGAAATAATTCATGGAAGCCATAGATTTGTGGACATTTAACATGGCCTGGGCCGTGATATTCCTTAATTTTATCCCTCGCTAACGCTCAGGATAAAATTCGAATAGTACGGACCAGGCCATGTGTAAATGTCCAACAAATCTATGGCTTCCATGAATTATTTCTCAATTCGCATACGAATTTGAATCCACATTCAGTCAAAATATTCAATCAACAAAAAGTAAAATAACAAAAATACCGAACTCTATGGGAAATATAAAAGGAAAGTCATTTATTTAATGACAAACTCAAAAGCTCAAACACATATAACGAATTGAAAACAACTATCAAAATCCTGAATTGGTTTAGGCATATCTTTATGTAAGTGTGGTAGTTTAAACCTGATTTTATCATGTTTAAAGCTCAACAAGTGGTATAGTGTCCAATGAGACAGCTATTTCTGAAACTCGAGCGAATAAGAAAACCTTGGAATTGAAACAAGTTGATCATCACAAAGAATATACAAGATTGTTAGCTGTATAAACAATACAGACATTAACAATTTAAAAGCAGAAGTCAAACACTTTTAACTAAGGCTAAAAAGTAAAATCACAAAAATACTGAACTCCGAGGAAAATTCAAAAAGGAAAGCCCCTAATCAAATGGCAAAATCAAAAGCTCAAACACACCAAACGAATGGATAACAACTGTCATATTCCTGACATGGTACAGGCATTTTCTTATGTAGAAAATTGTTGATTAAACCTGGTTTTAAAGCTAGCTAAACCTCTCACTTGTATGACAGTTGCATCAAATTCCATTATATTGACAACGATATACGAACAAAACAAATAGACATTATAGGTATAAATGTTACAAATAGGGGTACAGCAGTCAACATTGTGTGTTTAATCTTAATCACTATAAAAACAAACACATATATAACAAAGAAGCACAACACGAGCCCTTTTAAACAAATTATATGTGTTTTGAAAGGTAAACATTTCCTGCTACACATTTGGAAACCGATGTTTTGCCTATATAAGTACACAATTAGTGATAAGTGTAACTGTCACATTCATAAAAAAGAGGACATGATTGTCAATAAGGAGTACTATGATACAACATATATGTACATGAACAGTCGATCGGTATGTATGTGATAGATAATGTTATTTCATGCCTCTTAAATATACGGTACTCATATATGAACAAAAGAAAATAAAAACTAGCTTTGCCATTTCATACAAATACACTTTACCTTCACCTTCGTTAGGAAGTTGCATCTGGTAAATTTGGTTATCATGAGAAGTTGATGGCAAAGTTGTATCTATTTCGCTTTGATTGCGTAAGCTATGCACACGAGCTAAATCTGGGTCATCTGATGAAATATAGAGCTGGTTGTCTACTGGTTCCACTAAAGCAAATAAAATGATTCACAGCAAAATAAAAAAAAAGAATATACGTGTGAAAATCGTACAAAGAAAACGCGAAATAATTTTACACATAAGTAAGTTTTTTTGTTATTTTAACACTGATTGCATGAGGCAAAATAGGTGTTACTATTTCTAAAACAAAATAAGATATTTAAATGTTTAAAAAGAGTGCAATTCAAACTAGCTAGGCAAAAGGGCAAATTGATATTCAAATGCTGGACGATGATTTTATATCAATATGAAATTAAGTACTTGAATCTTTTTTCTTGTGACCATTTCCGGTATTGAATTTTATTGTTATCAATGCTATTCATGAGTCTGTTTGGGCATGAAGCTCATCAAATGTGTCGGTTCTTATACATCATTGGCTTTCAAATACTAGACTGCGAGCTTTACTGATCGAGGTTAACACAGAAAAACGCTTCGAACTTATTTATAGTTTTGTTTTTTTTTTTTTTATTGAGGCGCTTTTTGGTCATGTTATATTACATGTCATTTAAAAAAAACTTTTGTATATCACTTAAGTATAGATTAAAAGCTAAGACGGATTTTTTTTTTCTTTTTAAATTTGTAATGCATCTTATTTCATAACACCTGATGTATGATAACCATAAACAGCCCAGGGACACATGCGTAGGGGGTCTAAGAGTACACCATTCCATTTTTCATGCACAATACTAAATGGAGACTATTTAATACTAGTGAACAACAGTTCTAACTTTCTAATCCTCTTATATCTCACGTTTGTATTTTAAATTGAAATACGTATATATGAAAATAACCAACTATTTGTATTATTATGTACATTTTGAATATGTTATCTAATAAAGATGGATATTTGTGATATCAAAAAACTACGTAAACCGTTCCATATGTACATGCAGAATCCATACTAAAATCAGGAACACCGTCTTTTGTTTAAGATAGAGAATGGAAATGGGGAATGTGTCAAAGAGACAACAACCCGACCAAAGAGCAGACACTAGCCGAAGGCCACCAATGGGTCTTCAACGCAGCGAGAAAAATCCCGCAACCGGAGGTGGTCCTCAGCTGGCCCCCAAATAAAATTGTGTACTAGTTCAGTGAAAATGGGCGTCACACTAAACTCCAAAACATATAAATGAACTAAAATTGAAAAACATACAAGACTAACAAAGGCCAGAGGCTCTTGACTTGGGACAGGCGCAAAACTGCGGCGGGGTTAAACATGTTTTGTGAGATCTCAACCCTCCCCCTATACCTCTTAGCAATGTTGAATAACGAAACACATAGTAATTGTTTGCTCTATAACGTATACATGTACATGTACACATTTTTGTTATGTCATTTAGTAATTTGATGTTCATGGCAAATCTATGAAAGCTTGTTTAATGTACAAATTACTTTTTAAAAACTGAAGTGACTAGAGTTTTACTTGTTTTATATGCACTGAAATACTTTGTATTAACGTATAGTAATTTTGACGTGTTGGTGACTTGTGTTTTGTATTAGGTATTAACTAGTTGACCAATGCACCGCACCGTATCTTATGTTATTTATTATAATAAAATGCATTACTTAAATATCTTTTTACTACAAGACAATTTGAAATACGTCAGTATATATTCATTACCTTGAAAGTTTTCTCTAACTTCTTCCTCCCTCCTATAATATAAATTAATAATTATAATGACTATGCCATTTAATATGTCTGTTTTGTTGTGATTTTTTAAAAGATGTATGTGACATCGGCTAGCATAATTGTCATACAATATTTTATGAATGATGGAATCTACATTTTAAACTTATTGAAAATATACTTACCATGTTTTCATGTTGTATAATTTAACATCTTTACTTCAATTATAATGCTTAGAAATCATATATAATAAATTATAATGTATATCTTTCATGAAAAAGTAGGTTAAACGTTTTTCCGTCTGTTTCTTGTGAAAAACTGAATTTGGGTCGATGCCTCTGCTGGTGGACTGATAGTCCCCGAGAGTATCACCAGCCCAGTAGCCAGTACTTTGGTACTGGCATGAAAATAAGGATTTTATGTTATTAAAATTTGCTGTTACAAAATTTTGGAAATTATTTAAAATTAAGGAAAGTATCTCCCTCATGCAAAGCTCTGATCCCGTGCCCAGCTTATACATTTTGGTCCTTTTTTGTTTATAGCTCTTTATGTTTTTAATGAGCTTTGGATTTTCAAATATTTTTGCATCTAGCATCACTGAAGAAACATTGATTGTCGAAATGCGCATCTGGTGCAGAAAAAATGGTACCGTTTTTTGGAAATTATTCAAAATTGAGGAATGTATCTCCCTCATGCAAAGCTCTGATCCCGTGCCCAGCTTTGGCTATACATTTTGGTCCATTTTTGTTTATAGCTCTTTATGTTTTTAATGAGCTTTGGATTTTCAATTATTTTTGCATCTAGCATCACTGAAGAAACATTGATTGTCGAAATGCGCATCTGGTGCAGAAAAATTGGTACCGTTTATGTTATTATATGAATGACAGGAAATGTGGGAAATGGTGACATCGACCTAACGGCAAACATGACATCAAGACATTTACTTAATTAACAGACAAAGCTGGCGATATCAAAAGTTAAAAAAAAAAGATATTGGATTTCGAAAAATATAAGAACACAATATGAGCTGAGTACAAGACATTGATTGATTTTGAACATTTGAATACAAAATAAAAGGTTAGTTTTGTAGATTTTCTTTTAACAGCTCAATTTTCAAACAGTTACAAACTTTCCATAGAGATGTTTTGATCCGAAATTGGTTAACAGATGTATTGGTATTCATTTGCATGAGGTAGAGTGCATGAGGTCGAGTTGTATCCGACGCAGCACATATGTAATAGAGAGGAGAACGTGCGAAATATATGTTTGAAGGTAGTATCTATCAAATAAACATACGGATTGTAGTTGTCAGATGCATCTTTTTCTGTAATAAAAAATCAAGAAAAACTACATATTGTCAATAAGAAATAATTATTAAGAAAATATGGAATGTTATTTGAAACCTCCAAAAAAAAGAAAAAAAAAAACAGAACGTTTTATGTTACTAGCAGTATGAAAATATACTTGTTTCCGTCAAGTTCAAAAGAACAACATTGACGAATATATTGGACAGAATTTACAAATTGTGCAAAAGTTATGAATTATTTGATCAAAACAAAACAATAAAAATAAAATTGAGAATGGAAATGGGGAATGTGTCAAAGAGACAACAACCCGACCATAGAACAGACAACAGCAGAAGGTCACCAACAGGTCTTCACAACTGCTGACAACACCTAGCTGTTATATTTTGATATATATTTAAATTTGCAAACAATTATTTCTTGTTTAGGATTAAAAAAGACTCGCCTTTTGTGCTGAATCAAACACTAATCAATTATGAAATAATGATATCTTCGATAAAGAAGAGAGAAAAACTGACAAAGTCTACTATTGTATGATATATTTGACAATATACTTTACATATCCTACCTTTTCTTCTTAGAAAGAAAAAAGTAATCAATCCGTAAACAGCTAAAATGACTGCTAAAACGAGCAATACAACTAAAGACATCTCTTTGGATAGAACAACTGCAATAACTATCAATAAAACTACAAACACAGCTTTCACACGATATATGTTAATCGTTGGCTCTGTAAAATAAATAGAAATCTAGTTAAAAAAGAATTTAATGAATAAAAACGTACGGAATCAGAACCAATACCATGAGAATTGAATCTTGTCGTGACAGGAGAAGCACAGTTATCAAATTAAAACAGATTTTTATCACAGGTCGAGTTCTTATTGTCGTAATAATTTGTTTTCATAAACAAGATAGTCTTAATATATGTCCTGCTAAGCCCCATAGACTAGAATTCTAAATCCTCGTATTTATCTATGAACAGATGGTGTTAACTGTTGCAAAAAGTAAAACAACAGAAAAAACAGAACTCCAAAGAAAACTCAAATCGAAAAGTTCTTTATCGAATGTCAAAATCAAAATCTGTTGTTGTTGTTATTGGTTTTGGTAGGTGGCTTACCTATGTTGTAATTGCGCCTTAGATTCATATATCATAAATATAATATATATACGCTCATTCCATATTTTGTTTTTAATATTACATTTTGGCGAATAATTAAATGAAACTATATCAAACAGGGTTGACTGTGTTACAATACATTATACATATGTAAAAATCGAAATCTCAAAGACATCTTTTTTTTTGGGGGGGGGGAATTTTAAGGAATTTCTTTCCCACAGCAACTTGTAATTTCGACGAAAATTATTTTTTCATATATTTCATTGGCTTGACAAATCTCGTAAATTATTTTTAAACAAAACAACCAAATGAAAAAAGAAAACGAGAAAATCGTTTAAACAAAAAAAGAATAGACTTCCCATTTCGTCGACAGGGTAATTGTCACATACTATTCCCGCACACACTGCTGATGTAGGTTCAGAATTCAGACAAGTCATTATAACAAGTAGGACACCATTGGTACATCTTTGTAAATTAACCGACCAGACAACTTTTCATGTATGGGATTTTGGTGGAGTCCCTCCTCATAAGACATACAAAGAAAACGTAGACAGTACGGTGTCAGAAAACGTAAGGTGTATAAGTTTATTCACACTCATGGTAACCAAAATATAGACACAGTGCTATGAACGAATACTACTTAGAAACTTTGTATTACATGATATGAATGATCTAATTACTCACCTAAAGTCATCACAGAAGTGACAACCGTCTTGTTACTTTCACCAATTTCATTTCTGGATAACATCCGAACAAAGTATCGTCTTTTTGGGTTAATGTTATACAGGAGATTTGACATCCTAACCTTCTTGTTATCAATAATAGGTCCTGACCGTGTCCACATTTCACCGGCTTCTCGTCGATATTCTATGAAAAACGTCTGAGGGTCACCTCCGTTATATTCTGGACACCATGACACTGCCAGATGTTTTTCATATGGAATTACTGATACATTTGTAGGAGGTTCGGGGCGATCAGCTTTGTAGAAAAATTTACATACTACAGAAATAAAGTTAAACACAAGATTTGTTGTAAAATACTGTTTAAGTTTGAACATAATCAATTGTTTAAGACAAATTTATACCGCTGCCATGTGATGAATGTACTTTTGATGTCAATTGAAATCGAAACAATATACATAAGACTAGATGTTTATTTTAGAATATGTTGCAAATAACAAAAATGCAACTTTAGTTAATGAAGTTTTATCCAAGAAAGCGCCTGGGACACATGAAAGTTATAATTTTGGTTTCAGTGTTGAAAGAACAAACGTGTAGACTAGTATTACCCATTCTACAAGGTAATAAAGATGTTAAAGAAAGGCCATCATTAACGTTACCAAAAGAATTTTCAAACTGTTAAGTAGAAACAAACTGACAATGACTTGGGAAACAAAAACGATTAATGACAAACAACAGTAGACACACAAAAAACCATTACGATTGAGCAACACACTGTGGATATCTAAAAACTCAAAAAGAGGTAAGTAGATCTTGATACATCCATTAGTTCACATTTCATATTGCAAGACAATTAAATGAAGTATGGTTTCCTAACAAGTTGGGAGTGTATATCATTTGATTAGAATTGTGCGTATGAGCAGACACAGATAGACCTTTCTCTGATAACGTATTTTTTTCTAAATTTGCAGTTGTCTCACAGCGATGACATGACGAATATCTTTCCATACCAGTTGGAAATCTAGTGACAAATATTTCCTCCCTGTAAACACTGAAAACTAGATCTTTTAATTGTGTGTCTCGTTTTAGCAGGATACTATCAATTTTAAGTTCACGAAAAACTGCTCTGGTAAAGAGTATAAATAAAAGTGAGTTGAAATAAAAACAAAACTTAACTTAAATGTTACATTTTCCTCCTTAAATAGCAGAAAGTAAAATAACAAAAATACCGAACTCAAATGAAAATTCAAAACGGAAAGTCCCTAATTAAATGGCAAAATCAAAAGCTCAAACACACCAAACGAACTGTCATATTTCCGACTTGGCACAGGCATTTTCCAATGTAGGAAATGATGGAAAATACCTGGGTTTATACCAAGCTAAACCTCTCACTTGTATGACAGTCGCATACAATTCCATTATATTGACAACGATGAGTGATACACAATAGGTAAAAGTGTCAGAAATAGGGTCATCATTGTGTGATAATCTTAATCATTATAAAAAACAAACCAATATGTCAACAAAGAAACAGAAAAAGGCATATTGACAAAGCACATTAACAAAAATGAAAGACAAGAATACTAAAATTTACAATTGCACAATAACACAATGGCGGGATGTATAAGTACCGAGCCACGTCAAATGGATATTACCAAAAATATACTAAACAGTAGAAGTAATATTCACAAAGACAAATAAAAGACTACTAAAACACGTAATTAAGATGATAAACAACGTCAGTACCTATAATCTATATTCAAGACCATCGTGTATTATTTATGAAGTTGATACGGAATATTTATCAACAATGTCTTGGTATCTTCCGATGAAATTTAAAGGACGAGACGTTCTTTGACATACCACTGGTTCATCAACTTTCTGCCCAGACACTGGTGACGTTTTACAAAGTCTGAGTAGCAGCTGTAACATCTTGAATACCGAATGAGTTGCGAAATACATATCCCATATGCAGGTGAAGTTGGTATATTGCTACTGAGGTGGGGGAAATTTTAAAATTAAACTCTCTCGTTGGTCATAGATTCTGGTACTGAGATGACCGCGTATGTCAAATTCGAGGTATAAGACTCAAAATGAGGCGGAGGAATCGTGTCTGTTGTTTCCTTAATTTCTAGTTATTGAGGACATATTAATGGAACCCAATCAGAAAAGTTTGGATTGCTAATGGAAAGAACATCATCAATATATAGATATAAGAAGATGTGGTATGATTGCCAATGAAACAACTCTCCATCCAAGTCACAATTTGTAAAAGAAAACCATTATAGGTGACAGAACGGTCTTCAACACGGAGCCTTGACTCACACCGAACAGCAAGCTATAAATGAACCCAAAAAGGAATGTATCTGAATGTGAAATTAAATGATCCGGATTTGATGTTCATGTTTTTGACAACTGTCTGAAGGAACTCCGATTCATATGAAAATAAGAAAAGGTCGGCAAGGGGAGGCGCACAGTTCGTTCCCCATAGGAATATCGACAATTTGTTTTAATAATATACATCCAAATTCAACAATGTGCTGTTTATAAGACACTCCAGCATACTGATCATTTGTTCCGCTATGTAGAACTTAGCAAAAGATCAGTACAGCAGGCTAAAGGAAACTTGGTGCAGTTTTGGTTGAACATATTGCTATGGAAATAAATTCCTTGAGTACTAACTTCAATTTCTTTTCTGTTAGCTGTATGCCATTCTCGAACATGCTAATTATTTGTATATATATGCAGCCAGATCATAGAAATTTAGAGAATCAATTCAATGGAATCGATTGATATGCAGCAGAGATTGGCACTTTTGCAATTAAGTTATTAAGCAAATGAAATCAGACCTTATGCCGATGTAAACATTGAATATGTATAGATCCAGAAGACTGCAAATACATGTATTAAAATCAATTTATTAGCGACATTACAATACAAGAATAACGCCATCTGTGACATTTAAAAAATGAAACTTTTTTCATTCATAAGTGGACTAAATGCGGCAGCGACTAATGCACATAAGCCGTGTATATCTGGCAGCGTGGAATAACAAGATAACACGTGTTTGAACAAAATCGATAAGAGACGAAAAACGAAGCCATTTAAATGCTAACGTGAGCAGACCGCTGTACTCGAAAACGTAGATGTGAAAAACTGTTATATTTAGGAAACTGTTATATTTAGGAAACTGTAACATGCTAAAGACTTTGTGGAATACCCTGATGACTTTTTGGAATACACAAATGATCTTTAAATTCTATAGGTACATGATTTTGTCCAACATTTTAATGAATATTCAGAAAAGATTAATATGCTTCAGATTTTAGTTTCAGAAGCTTTTAAAGCAATGATATCGATAGATAATGAACATGAAGCATAATTTATTTGCATGTATATTTTTAATAAACTGAGTTCTTGTATAATTGGTGTTTGGAAACAACTTTCGATCATTACCTTCACAGGCATTGTACATGTTATGTTGTTATTGATTTTCTCGGCATTTTCGAATAAGAGTGATTTTCTTTTGCCTTTATCAATATATTTTCCACTGATACAGTATTAAACAGTTAGACATTTGACAATGCTGAGTCAAACTCTCTTAACATTTTACAAATGAAACAATTATATTAAGTACATTAATAAGCAATATTTTAGCAAGCATTCTATTACTAGAACAGTTTCGTGACGGTGTCCTCAAGCCATTTTTCCCCATGCTATTTTTTTCGGAGGGTTTGGGGGGGGGAGGACTGGATCCAGATAATCTATACATACACGCAATACTATTTTGGAAAAAAACGCCAAAAAATTTGTATAACACGAAATCATGGTAACAATGATGAGTATAACTAGGGATGTCAACTCGGTGAACAATTACTAATCGAGTACTCGTTGGTTTAATCGAGCGATACTTTAGTATTCTCTCAGGAATATATTTACAACACAGAAACAAAAATACGTGTTTTACATTCTGTGGTTTGTTGTTCAATTGACAAAAACCATCTACATAAGTATCTGGGACAAGGACACACCATGATCAATAGTTCATTCGCTACAAGTACTAATTAAGTAAAAAACAATAACCTTATCAATATAATCATGATAATCTAAAAACCATATCAAACAATAGTATCAGATGATCGTTAAAAAGACAGATTTAATGTTTTAAACGACGTAAGGATTAGAAGTTTAACTTTTCACGGAGGGTCACAAGTGGATGTAACGATTTTTTTTTTTTTTTTTTTTTGAAAATATATTCTTGTTAACTATTATTGGGGACATTGGGTTTGCAGCTTTGTACCTAACAGTCTTACAGACGAAAATATATGCTCGGACGGTACCGATGTGACGGAATGGCTGAGACATGTTTGTTTAAAATGGTATCCTAGGTATAGCCCACACATTTTCGGAGGCATTTTAAGTAGCAATTTAGCACAAGTATTCGACACAAAATGTATTTTATCTACTAGAATAATTAATCAGCGATGCCTATTTAATTTTCTGAAAGAGGTTCTCAAGAAAATCAAATTTGTATTAAGAAGACAACTGTATTCTAACAGGAAATCGATTAGTCGAGTATCGTTTTAGTAACTAACTAACAGTCTTGCAGACGGAAATATATGCTCGGACAGTACCGATGTGACGGAATGGCTGAGACATGTTTATTCAAAGTGGTATCCTAGGTATAGCCCACATATTTTCGGAGGCATTTAAAAAGGCCTGAGGTTCTCCTCCGTTATATTCAGGGCTCCATGATACTACCAGATGTCTTTCATGAGGAGTTACTAACACATTTGAAGGAGAATCTGGGCGATCGGCTGTGTATGAAAATAACATACTAAAGAATTTTACCTAAACACTTGATTGTACTGTATCAGTGTAAAGACCAATAAGAATTTTTGATGATTTGTTTTATAATTTGTTGTAAATACTAAATGGAAACTAAATAGGATTTTGTTTAATGCATTTGTTATTCATAATAAAGATTATTCCATAATGTGACAAATGTCACTATGATATCACTAATTTATGTATTCACGACCACGTGACCATGCCTTTATTATTTTATCTACGTAATTCTAATCACAACAATTCGGTTTCAAATGGAATTTGATGCAACTGTCATACAAGTGAGAGGTTTAGCTAGCTTTAAAACCAGGTTTAGTCCACCATTTTCTACATAAGAAAATGCCTGTACCAAATCAGGAATATGACAGTTGTTATCCATTCGTTTGATGTGTTTGAGCTTTTGATTTTGCCATTTGATTAGGGACTTTCCTTTTTTAATTTTCCTCGGAGTTCAGTATTTTTGAGATTTTACTTTTTCATACCGAGGGTATTATCAGTTTAGTAATCATTGACGCGGTTCTGACATAATTTACAACATATATGTCTGAAGCTAATAGCAAGTTTGAGCGTTTCTGATAGAGGTGAATACAGAAAAGCACTTCGGACGCATGACACAACGAGTATATTACTATTATCCAGTATACGAAACTTTACAGCTCCAGATCCGCATTTCGACAATAACTGAATGCTTCAAGCCAACATATTTGAAAGTAAAAAAACTATAAATATTTTAAGCGCAAAAATTTAGGGCTCTGCATGTGAGAGAAACATTCCTGAAATATTTTTTTTTTTAATTTTTAATTTTTATTACACCATATTGTAATTATAAGATATCAGCATTTGTATGCATTCAAGTACCGAATTAATGACTACTGGTTTGTTGACTAAACGTCCACCAACAGAGGTATGAACCCAGTTACAGTAATAAAATTAACAAAACCAATTAAACTGCTTCAGAAACGCATTTCGACAATTAGTCTCTTCAGTGATGTTGGAAGTAAAAATATTTGAAAGGTCAAAATTAAGCACATACGTCAACGTGCTGATAACAACAAACAGGACAAAAAGTAAATCCGAACACGTTTTTATAAACAATCGTTAACAAAACATATTTAGCTTTGTACAATAACTTAAAGTTTTCTTAAAGTGAGGACGGTTTACAGCGATGACATCACTCATATCTTTTCAAACCGTATTCGAAATAAAGAAAATTCGACTTTAAACTGTAAATCAAACACAAATAACAGAACGTAAAAAGACTCAAGTAACCTTCACATACACAAATCACCATTTATGAAATCAACTCAGAAACAGTGTATTACAATGAAACATGGAATCAATGACGATTATTATTATTTTGCAACTCAATATTTCATGATTACTCACCTAACGTCATCACAGAAGTCACAACCGTCTGATTGCTTTCTCCAATTTCATTTTTTGACAATACCCGAACACGATATCGAGTTTTTGGATTCAATTCATTTACGAATTTTGACATCCTAACTTGTTTCGTATCAATAACAGGTCCAGACCGTCTCCATATATTTTCGGTTTCTTGTTGATATTCTACGAAAAATGTCTGCTGGTAACCCCCGTCGAATCCAGGATTCCACACAACTTCCAGATATCTAGCATATGGAATTACTGACACATATGGTGGAGGCTCGGGACGACCTGTTTGAAAAAAAATATAGTTATAAAGTTACTCAGGACTTTTGAGGAAAAAAACCAACTATTTAAAAGTATCAGTTTGAGACGTTACCAGTTTAGTCCAATTAATATCGCTACCAAGCTGTCAATCATCGTTTCATTATATAAAAACAAAAAAAAATAATCGAAAGACAAATACAGTATACAAACACGTAATCGAAAACTTAAGATCGAATATTAAGAATGATCCAAAAACCAGAAGGACAATCAGATTGTTCACATGTGGAACCCTTGAATACATAATTTGACAAGTGTTGCTTGATTTTTACTAATGGAAATGTTTGATAATGTAACGATGCCGTCTGATGAAAACTGATGAAAATTCTTACAGGGATTCGTGTTGCTTTGTCATTAGTTCTCTATGTTGTGTTTTGTCTACTATTGTTTGTCTGTTTGTCTTTTTCTTTTTTAGCCATGGCGTTGTCAGTTTATTTTCGATATATGAGTTTGAATGTCTCTCTGGTATCTTTCGTCCCTCTTTTATAAGACTACTTTGTAGATAAGGTATTCATGCCATTTAAACAAACCGTATCTTGAACTTCAAGGTAAAATGTTATCGCTTGATTTGCTTAATATCGATATGATATAATACCAGCAGTTGGAAAATTTATTATAACTACTGTTATTATTATTAATATTAATAAAAATAGAGAACATTGCCGTAAGTCGAGATGGATGGAAATGTCTGCAGGATGCCGAAAAATTCCATTGTTACACAAAGATTTTATGTTGGTGCTTTCAGCGATCACATAATCATAAACAATTCTTAAACTTGATTAAGATTTTTATCGTAAATTTGATTGTCAACTTACAATTTGATGTTACCTTCACCGTAAAAACATTACACGCCTTGTAGTTACAAGCTTTAATTGTATAATCTGTAAAATCTTCTATGTTAGCCAGTGTCAGTAGGAATGTTATCTTTATACCATATACTGTTACATCTACACCATGGATTATGTTGTGTGTTACAATCCTCTCTTGTCTTCCATGTATATTCAAAGGCTCGTTTAGTTTTGATATAGTTGTTTGTATCGTGCCATACTTATTGTATATTGTGCCATACTCATTGTATAAATGTACTGTTAAATTTATCTTCTGACCGTAACTACCAAACTGGATTGGTTTATTTGCATTCACAAATATCGGTGGAGCTTAAATGAAATATATATATAGAATAATGACATTTTGGTTTTGATGCTGACTTTTACGAATGAAGTCGCAGATGAACAGAAACGCGTGACGTTGCCTCGCTGATACGTGACGTAATTGCCGAATGTTCCGACTTTCAGGTTCTGTTCATGATCTATTAACACAATATTAGGGATTAGGAACAAAAGCAAATTAAAAAAATGTCGATAATATCATTTACACATTGTACACGTTAATATAGATTATTGATGCTCATTTTTTTTTATATCTTTTTGGAATTATGAATTGTTACATTAAAGTTATAAATCACAGCTCCAACAGTATTCATATTTCAAATATACATTTTATCTGGTTGAATTGATATATCCAATACAACGTTTTCTTGTCTTTTGGAACGCTTATCAATGAAAAAGTTTCGGCCAGAGACAATAAATACCTTTTAACTTAAGCTTTAAGATTAAGTATTTTAAGTTTTTCCTGTGATTGTAAGAATGGAGAACAGCACGAAAGAGTGTTTCCATGCAAAAGGGAAATTGATCATTTTTTTCATCATGTTAATTTAATGCAAAATATCGTGGTTCAGTTTTTTTCAATTAAATCATTTAAACAGATGCATGCTGATAGCTTATAAGATATAATTAGAAGGGCATTTCTAATCAACTTTCAAACATTTGAACATGCACTTTAATATGAATACGGTCCGTACATATAAAAACAAAATGTGAATGTTCCTTTCTGGTATAATCTTCCGTTTGCACCATTGATACCGTTTGTTGTTTTGCATTTGTAAAAGCCGTCATTTTCATGTAAGCTGTTAATATTGTTTGATTTCAGAGTCAATTTACCGTCAGGTGTCCCTTGAACATTTCGAATATGTTCTTTGAATTCAGACCAGTGCTCCCAATCGGCGAAAGTATAATTGTCAGGATTTCCTCTAGGATTACATATTAGTTTTAATCTTTTCTTAGTTACTTTTTTTCTTATTTTAACAACTGGGGCATCTGTAGAACAAAATACAAATCACTGTTTTAGATATTCATTAGGCAGAATTCATGTTTTATTTGGAGTTCTGTATTTTTTTATACTTTATTTAGAATATGAATGATAATTGCTTACAGAGTATTTTATTTCTCTTTCTTCTTCCAAAGATTATATAGGTTTTTCATTAATCAATATAAAAAAATAAGATAAAAGCCAATCAAAAGTGTGTCCTTTATATATGAATAAGAGGCTACAGTGGTTTACCGTGATTCAAATCTTACATGTATGTATCCCTTTAGGAGATACAAATAAACGTAAAAAATCCAAATTTGATGAATCGCTTGAACGGCTACGTCGAAGGTGTAAGCGTCTTCTGTTGTGCTAACATAATGTCCACACTCAGTTATAATATCAAAATATATTGAGAAGAGAACACAGTCAGCAAATATACATAAAAGTAAATACAAGGCAGAGCATTATTTTAATGTGGGTCTATTTTGAAAGTGCTGATAATAAGCTGTTTATTCGGTATGGGTTTTGCATATCGCTGAAGACCGGATGGTGACTCTGTATATTTGTTAATTTATATGTCATTTTGGTCTCTTGTAAAAAGTTGTCACATTAACAATCATACCGCATCTTCTTATTTTCATATTCGTATGTTTTAACAGGTATATTTTCGTATTATATGTGGTTGCTTTGAAGACCTAAACAACAATATTCATTTTGCAAAGAATTATGCTCATACCGGTGGTAGGGTCCGTTTTATACGTGCAGTGATATGAGAGTTTTATTTGGTCCGTGATTATGACTTCGATGTGACTTTGAAATGAAGAAAAGCATCTTTGTTTGTTATTGATTTTGCATGTACTGACTTTGTGTAATGGATCGATACTCAAAATCATTGGTTTTCCTGTGCTTTTTCCTGTCTTTAAGAATATAAAATTATAGTACTTTCTATACAACAGCCAGACAAAAACCCTCTTATGGATGTTCTTTTTATACTTTTGACCTAGGCTTACCACCAATTGCAACATAAGACGTGCTTACGGCTCAGCTAACTCGAAGGTTCTTATTATAATTTTTCGTATGTTTATAGCATGTATATACTGTGGCTTCATTTTCTTTATGGATATCAATGTTTGTGGTCTACCGATCACACGAAATCCACAACAAAATGAATAATAACAAATCCAAAGTGGCAGTAGATAAATTCACCATAGAAATTAGATTTAAAATTTTGCACACCAGATGCAGATTACGTCTGCATAAGACTCAGTGACCATCGAATTAAAAAAGACAGATGAGCAAAATAAAGTGTGAAGTTTAATAACATTGAAAATCAAACATTGCTAAGGTTCTCTATTTTGGTGGTAGACAAACATTTGTATTTCGAAAAATCAAAGTTTTATTAACTCTTTATTTACAATTATAATGAATACATTAACTCTTTATATTTGTCTATTTGACGTGTTTTTTTTTTTTTTTTTTTTTTTTTTTTTTTTTTTGTTAAGCATGCTTTTTGGTGAAAGCAAAGCCTACATGTTGAAGGCCGTACTTTAACCTATATTGTTAACATTTTACACATCGTGACTTGAATGGAGAGCTGTTTCATTAACACACATACCACATCTCCTTGTTTCTATATAAAGTAGCCATCATTTTCTTTGTTTAGGATATTTACTAATGATAAAACGTTTTTGATTGATTGAACAAAATCGCTTTGTCATACAAGTGAGAGGTTAAGCTAGCTATGAAACCAGATTTAATCCACCGTTTTCTACATAAGAAAATGCCTGTACCAAGTCAGGAATATGCCAGTTGTTATCCATTCATTTGATGTTTTTGATCTTTTGTTTTTGCCATTTGATTAGGGACTTCGGTATTTTTGTGATTTTACTCTTTGAAATGAATCAGATAATTTGCGGTTAATAAAGGATTTACAAATATGTATAATATAGTTAAAGACATAAAATGTATTACAATGGACATATTTTGCATATTATGAAAGAAATGTCGATGTGTATGGGAAACAAATTCTGAAACCGTTTCAAATCTCTGATTGTTATCAACGTTAAAGAGTTAATTTCTATATGATGTACTTACACTGAATATCCAGCAATACTTTCTGTCCGTTTTTAATGACTGTTCCCCGTTCTTTTATCTTTGAAGATGTTGAAGGCAAACCTAATTAAATAGAATCAGTTATATCTTTTGAAAACACAAACGATATGTAACGAATTACCAAATGCTTTATTAAAACCATAAAACCAGGTTCAATCCATCATTTTTTCTTAAAATGTCCTGTACCAAGTCAGGAAAATGGCTATTGTTATCTTATAGTTCGTTTCTGTGTGTGTTGCATTTTAGTGTTTCTGTTGTGTCTTTGTTCTCCTCTTATATTTGATGTGTTTCTCTTAGTTTTAGTTTGTAACCCGGATGTGTCTTTTCTCAATCGATTTATGAATTTCGAACAGTGGTATACTACTGCTGCCTTTATTTATTACTAGCAGGTAATGTTAAACCCATTTAGAACGTGAAAAGAAAGTAAGCAAGTGTACAAAGATTAAAAAGTACCGGAATTAATAGGTGATAACACATTTCCATACTAAATTCATGTTAGTCACTGCTTTAAAAAGGCCTGTTTGTTTGAAGGTATAAAGCTTTACTTTTATCTTTCTTTGCTATTTCATGATGGCGATTGTATTGATGGCGGAAGCTAAATTTGTGGTATTTTCGTTGATATCAATATAAGAGTTTCTAAGTTTTGAATTCAGGAAGTGTATATATATATATATTTATATATTTGAAATTGACTTGAAGTTATCTTTCTCCCTATACATTTATATAAAGAAATAAACTATATTTATCTATCGCCACACTTATCATTGTTAAATGTTCGAATGAATAAAAACTGTAATGTACTGATTCTAAAAACTGATATAGTGTTGTGCCTGTATTAAATCAGTATTAGAACAGTTGTTATCCATTCGTTTAATGTGTTTTAAGCTTCTAATTTTGCCATTTCATTATGGACTTTCTGTTGAATTTCCTCGGAGTTCGGAATTTTTGCTACTTTACTTTTTTCTTAACTATTTGTCAGAAATTGTTTTCCTTTAAAGAATACATTCTATTAATGATAATATGACCATATTTTATTTGCAACATTTGGGATTACATTTCTGAATAACTTTGATTTTCTAGACAAATCTAAATCGTATAGTACAAAAACGAATTGTAGAGTGTCTTTATATTTTCAACTGTTCATACATATTATTGTCACTGATATATGACCGACCGCAGATGTTAGTTGATAGTACGAATGTGTTACCTGGTTAAATTACAGTATTTTCATTCAGTAGAACTTACCTCTCAAAAAAAGTACACATATTACTAGCAACTTCAAAATACAGCTGATCAAATTCATTCCTGTAATGAAATTATATATAGAAGAGATAGGATATTGGTTTAGGGTGTTCATGATTAAGGTGTGTGATTCGGACGCATAAGGTTTCTATAGTTTTGTTTTTTCGTGGATATACTTAAATTTATATTGTACTTGATTTGCGCTTTTTTTTTCGGGAATTTTGTATGTCATATTTTACTATTTGTTATGGACTATCAACTAAACTTTTGTTTTGTGTTGGTGCCATAGTCAGATTTGTTTTTATGTTGTTTGTCTCTGATGTATACTAGCAAAGTTTGGCTGCTGGAGTCTTATTGTTATAACACTAAGCAATTATTTCTAGTTTCAATAGAACCAACACATTTTCATACAAAAGGCAGGATTAGTTAACCCCAGAACTATGTTTAACCCAACAGTTGATTTGGGAAATACCAGTACCAAAGCAGGCATATGGCAGTTGTTTTTAATTCGGTCCACTGGTTGATATTGTCAAGCGCTTGATTGTGTCGGACTTTATGGACTTTCCTCTTAGAATTAAACTATCATCACGGTATTGGTGCCAATACGTTTCTCTTATATGTTATTCATTTTATCTACCAAAACTGATAGTTTCTTCTTGAAACATTGTTTCATACAAACTCAATTCCAACAGTTTACTTTTATAATCACTTACCCGATTTGAATGATGTTTGTTTTCAGACTACTTTACTTAAATAATTACATGCAACAATAAATAACATAATATTGGATATCCATATATAATAATAACGAAATCAATAATGAAGAATTGCTTGATGCTATGGTGTGTACTCTGTCTTCCTGATTTGTTATTCAAGGATGTACAAATAAAATTCATGAAACAATTTTCAACCTATCCAATAAAATATTATTTCCGTTATTGAATTATCAAAAAACCCAATTGATATCGGAAATGATTAATCGATTTTAAGTGATTTGTGCCGGAACAAAATAGAAAACGCAGATGAAATATTAATAGTTAGATACATCATTTCCTAAACTCCAAATACATGTACATAATTTGAAACATGTCTCTGCGTGGCAGTTTTGCATAAACATTAAGCTGAGTGTTTAACTATTAATTGTCGACATGTTGTCACGAGTTCATCGTATAATTACCATATTCATGATATTATACCTTTAAAAATTGTATATTTTGACCAAAGGCCAGTGCGGTGTTAAGATCATCAAAATAAAAATATACGATAGCATACCAAATTGTAACAAATGAATTATATGTTTTTTATTGTTCGTATTTCTTACTGAAAATATTGTGTCGGTATTGTTCGATTTTGAAATAGTGCATTGCATATAGATAACGTTAATTAATATTTAGGAAATGCATTATTTACTTTAACTATGTTTAAACAGAACGGCAAACGATACAAAAGACACATTCAAACTCATAAGTCAAAAATATACTGACACCGTCATGGCAAAAAAAAAAGGACAAAAAAAAAAAAACAGATGCAAACCACTAAACTATTATCGATACAAATATAGAATTTTTGTGTAATTCGATTTGTTACTTGAAGTCTGATTTAAATATAAGTCTCAAAGCTGAACCCGATTTGCGAATTTTAAGTCGAACTGTGTCTTGCACTTCAAATCACAATAATAAACAGTTGGGCACATTTGTCAATATAATGTATCAAAAATATGATCGAAAACCGAGTGATACGTGTACAGATGTTCAAAATGTCAGCTTTGAAATTTCTTTTTAAGTTCTCAATATTTATATAAAAAAGAAGATGTAGTATGATTGCCAATGAGGCAACTCTCCACTAGAGACCAAATGCCACAGACATTAACAGCTATATGTCACCGTACGGCCTTCAACATTGAGCAAACACTTTCTCTCTTTATTTTTTGTTTTATGGTAATTGACAACATATTGGTAAAAATTTGAATTATGTTAATTGATGTATACTATTTAACGAAAATAGAAATTAGACACCTACCAAGTTGTATAAAATTGAGAATGGAAATGGGGAATGTGTCAAAGAGACAACAACCCGACCATAGAACAGACAACAGCAGAAAGTCACCAACAGGTCTTCAATGCAGCGAGAAATTCCCGCACCCGGAGGCGTCCTTCAGCTGGCCCCTAAACAAATATATATACTAGTTCAGTAATAATGAACGCCATACTAAACTCCAAATAGTACACAAGAAACTAAAATTAAAAATAATACAAGACTAACAAAGGCTAGAGGCTCCTGACTTGGGACAGGCGCAAACATGCGGCGGGGTTTAACATGTTTATGAGATCTCAATCCTCCCCCTGTACCTCTAGCCAATGTAGAAAAGTAAACGCATAACAAACGCACATTAAAATTCAGCTCAAGAGAAGTCCAAGTCTGATGTCAGAAAATGTAACCAACGAAAATAAACAAAATGACAATAATACATACATAACAACAGACTACTAGCAGTTAACTGACATGCCAGCTCCAGACTTCAATTAAACTGATTGAAAGATTATGTCTTCATCATATGAATATCAGGCACAATCCTTCCCGTTAGGGGTTAAGTATCATACCATCATAACATATATGAGAAGAACATAACCCGTGTCATGCCAACAACTGGTTTTTAAATAAATGTGTTTAGTGCCGATGCAAAGACCCTATAAGTGAATCAATATTAACGCCAAAATATGCAATCTTTAATGACCTGACAACAGTATCGTAACTATATCCCTTCTTAAAAAGTCTATTTAAAGGTTTTGTTAGCTTCAGAGGTGAATACTGACATTTTTGTGCTTTGTAAAGAATATTTCCATAAAAAATTGGATGTTGAGCTATATTTACGAATGATGTCCTTATACCGATGATAAAATTTAGTAAATGTTTTGACTAGTTTGTGATATCGAAAACCCTGGTGTAATAATTTTTCAGTAATACATAAATTTCTCTCGTTAAAATCTAAAACATTGATACATACACGAGCGAATCGTACAAGTTGAGATATA